GTCTATCTGCCTCCCTCTACCTCCCTACCGTGTGCGGTAGTCTAGGAGGCTCTGACTGTTCTCTCTCTCTGCCTGCTCTCTGCTCACTCTCCCTCTCGGCTCACACGCCCCATGTAAAAACAAAAAGCGCCTGCAAAAACACAGGGGTCAAACTCTACTCCCAAAGGGGTTAAAAATAGAGTGTGAGCGTGTGTGTAGAACACTGGTCGTGGGACGCCAGAGACCTAACAGATGGAGTTCCAATTATAAAATGCAGTGCTTATGTTGTTGTTATGGCATCACTATTAATGTAGTGTCAGGGTAGCTACTGATGATGATGACTGCTTTACATCATACATAACCCAGAACACACCCATGCATGCACGATGCACACACACACACACACACACATACTACACACACACTCTGAAACAAAAGAGAGAGAGTCACCTTTGTAACTTGTCCCGGAGGTCCCTTATAATAATAATAATAATGAGGGGCCCAGGAAATAGACGGGTGAGATTCACATACTTAATGTAGATAATGAGGTCAATTAATTATCTGAAAAACGAGGGGAAAGGAAAGTGAAATAAGAGGTCATTGGGCTTTGGGTATCAATAGCGTTGAGAGAAACAGTGGTAGGCCCAATTTATAACAATTTCTACACACTGCAGGGACAAGCACTAGATCCAATGATTACAATCCCCTCTTTTAAGCATCTTCAATTCTGCACATCCAAAATTAGGTTAGACTCCCAAAGACACCGGTCATTCTCACATTTAACATAATGTAACAAAATGTCCATCAACTATGTTTTATTGATTTTCAGAATATCAAGGTGGATGTGGACATGGGTGTGACATTTTATTCAGAAACAAGAACCCTATTTGTAGATGCCATATACAGACCTAGCACTAAGGGGTAGCCAAGTAACCTTCTCACCTGCATCAGATCCATGTAATTACAGTAGTGAGTGCATACATGTTCATACTTGTTCGTACTTTATCTGTACAGTCATACATTTTCTGATACTCTTCACACTAGCCTTTAATATGTCACTTCCTGCTGGACAAATTACCTTCTCTCATGAGGTACGCCGGGAGGGGACAGGCTGTTGCCTGGCAACCACTGCAAGCGCGGCCACATAACCGTCCACTTGGCAAAGTTGCACCTTCCAACAGCTGCCGGCATGTGACGTCAGGGAGAAAATCCACCACGTAAAAATGTCAATCAGCTTAGAACACTGACAGTTACAGGGTAAGAGGGTCACCTGCATCAGAAGGCTGGGAGGTTCAATAACACCAGAGATTCTAGCTGCTATAAAGGCTTAGACTTCGGTTACTCAAAACCTTGGAGACAGTCCTCGACCCTTTCACATATATTACTGATTTGCTTGAGGTAAATTGTTCGATAGAGAACACAGCTCTTGAAAATCTAGGAAGGGGGAAAACAATGTTTCCCAGGACTACCCTAACTCAAACCAATATGGTTGTAACACTAGCGCCGACCCAACAGATTTATCACAGCTACAGCTTGCTAGGCCTGTCCCCTCAGGAGATCTTTGGGTAGTCTTAGCTATACATTGGCTCTATGAAATAGTCTTGCACCCACGTGAGACCACCAACTTGCTCTTTACAGAGGGCTACGTTCGCCTACGGGGATCTCAGTGTTGCCGTTACAGAGGGATATCTATAGGCAGGTCAGAGTGGACCAACACAGATGAGAAAATATATGAGACAGAATACCAGGGAAAACAGTCAGGATTATAAACTATTCTGATATGGTTTTATAGAAAAATGTGTACTGTGCAAGTACAATAGAAAGTTTTCATCCATTAAAAAAATAATGAATGCCAAATGCGAAACCTCTCCACTGTTATTCAATATGATGGTATAGCCTACAGTATTAATATAAGCCATGCAGTGTAGGTTTAAATATTCTGAATAAAGGCTACACTTTCTAAAATACTGAGATCTTTCTAAGGCATATCTGATATTCAAGTCTCAATCTGAGAACAAAACCATGGTCATTATCCTGAATCATAAATAAAACTCCACGTCTCGAGTTGGTCTGTGTTTGAAATTGTCAAGCAAAGATATATTCATGAACCACTGTGGTTCTAAACATGTCTGGATTCCAACCTAGATTCATCCATAATATACAGTGCATTCGGAAAGTATTCAGACCCCTTGACTTTTTCCACATTTTGCTACGTTACAGCCTTATTCTAAAATTTATTAAATTGTTTTCTCCCTCATCAATCTACACACAATACCCCATAATGACAAAGCAAAAACAGGTTTTTAGACATTTTTGTAAAAATGTATTAAAAATAAAAAACTGAAATATCAGTATTCAGACCTTTTACTCAGTACTCTGTTGAAGCACCTTTGACAGCGATTACAGCCTCAAGTCTTCTTGGGTATGACGATACAAGCTTGGCACACCTGTATTTGGGAAGTTCCTCCCATTCTTCTCTGCAGATCCTCTCAAGCTCTGTCAGGTTGGATGGGGAGTGTCACTGCACAGCTATTTTCAGGTCTCTCCAGAGATGTTCGATCGGGTTCAAGTCCAGGCTCTGGCTGGGCCACTCAAGGACATTCAGAGACTTGTCCAGAAGCCACTCCTGCTTTGTCTTGGCTGTGTGCTTACGGTCGTCGCCCCAGTCTGAGGTCCTGAGCGTGCTGGAGCAGGTTTTCATCAAGGATCTCTCTGTACTTTTCTCTGTTCATCTTTCCCTCGATCCTGACTAGTCTCCCAGTCCTTGCCGCTGAAAAACATCCCCAGAGCATGATGCTGCCACCACCATGCTTCACCGTAGGGATGGTGCCAGGTTTCCTCCAGATGTGACGGTTGGTATTCAGGCCAAAGAGTTCAATCTTGGTTTCATCAGACCAGAGAATCTTGTTTCTCATGGTCTGAGAGTTCTTTAGGTGACTTTTGGCAAACTCCAAGCGGGTTGTCATGTGCCTTTTACTGAGGAGTGGCTTCCATCTGGCTATTCTACCATAAAGGCCTGATTGGTGGAGTGCTGCAGAGATGGTTGTCCTTCTGGAAGATTCCCCCATCACCACAGAGGAACTCTGGAGCTCTGTCAGAGTGACCATCGGGTTCTTAGTCACCTCCCTGACCAAGGCCCTTCTCCCCCGATTGCTCAGTTTGGCCGGGCGGCCAGCTCTAGGAAGAGTCTTGGTGGTTCCAAACTTCTTCCATTTAAGAATGATGGAGGCCACTGTGTTCTTGGGGACCTTCAATGCTGCAGAAATGTTTTGGTGCCCTTCCCCAGATCTGTACCTCGACACAATCCTGTCTTGGAGCTCTACGGACAATTCCTTCGACCTCATGGCTTGGTCTTTGCTCTGACATACACTGTCAACTGTGGGACCTTATATAGACAGGTGTGTGCCGTTCAAATCATGTCCAATCAATTGAATTGACCATACATGGACTCTAATCAAGTTGTAGAAACATCTCAAGGATGATCAATGGAAACTGGATGCATCTGAGCTAAATTTCGAGTCTCATAGCAAAGGGTTTGAATACTGATGTAAATAAGGTGTATATATATATATATGTATTTATTTGTATACATTTGCAAACATTTCTAAAAACCTGTTTTCACTTTGTCATTATGGGGTATTGTGTGTAGATTAATGAGGATTTAAAAAAAAATGTAATCCATTTTAGAATAAGGCTGCAATGTAACGAAATGTGGAAAAGGTCAAGGGTTCTGAATACTTTCCGAATGCACTGTAAATACTATATTTTAAATAATTTACAGATTTTCAAGATATCAGGGATTCCAACCCGCAGACTCTCTCACACAAACACACAGAGCAGGCCACCAGTTGGCATGGCTTCAGATGAGACACACACACACAGTACAGCTGTGTTTTACGGTGCGTTTAGGGTGTCTGTCGCAACGTGTTTATTTTGTTTTCCCACCAACGCTATGCCGGAGCCCCGGGGGAGCAAACTGTGTTTCTGTTTGGGTACACAACATCAATGGGAGACATGTGGCTAATCATACTGTACCTAGAAATACTTTCCTGTAAGAGGAGCTATATGCAGACAACATGCTGCCTATTATTCTACTGAGATCATAGGCATGGGCATGGGTGTGCCTCCAAGCAATCGTTCCCTTGTACAGTAGCTGCAGTAAGCACTTTCCAATAACACTCCAGTATCTACCTATGCAGATTACCTGCATTTTAATCCATAATGTATCGTACCACTTAGACTCAGCCTCGATGACGTCACTGCATTACACTGCTGTATATACCTAGGCCTAAATGGCCTCCACGTTCCCAAATCCATTTGCACAGTGTACACATACTGACAGTGTTCAGTGAAAACACTCGCTTTTCCACTCAACTTCATGTGCATCTAGTGCAACCCTGTTCCGGTTAGGAGGAATTGGCTCGATATAACAGGGTATAATGAGCCACATCCGAGCCAGTGGGTGTACTTGTACAACTTGCCTAAAGAAAAAATCCCACTGATGTTACAGTTTGTATCAATCTGATAGGGCAGGCAGGGCCCACAGATATGATGTGGTGATGTGACCAGTGGAGATTTCAGGCAAAGCTGTTCGTGGTGAGCATCAGGGCATCTCTGGTTTCATCAGAGCTCTTAGAGACTATTCACTGACACAATCAACCATCAGCTCTCAGTGCCTGTGATTGTGATTTTATTCAACTAATGGTAAACCAAATGGTAATTCTCGTCAAGTTTATGCTTGTTGCTGTGTCACACTCGGAACAGGCTTAGAAATAATGAATTGCAAAAGAAATCATATAAGAGCATATAAAATCATTACGAACCACAAATATTGCAGATAATATTGTTATGTGATTATTTACAGTATATATGCTGGTCTGATCACATTGTAACAAGGAACTTTGTATTTTTATCCTACAAACAAAACAAATGACATAGCAACAATGAGTTGACACTAACTTGCCCCCCATCCCCAACCAGCACACACCCAAAACTCCACCACCACCAATAGAGCAGCTAGCTCAGTCCTCCCCTTCCCCATTCCTGAGCATCAGCCCATGGTAGATACCCACCCCATGATTCTGTGTAGAGCCCCAGTGGTACTGTACTCTACTGTACTCACCCTCTCAATCTTCTCCAGCCACTCCTTGTTCTGGGCCAGCTCGGCCATGAAGGCCTGGTGCTTCAGCCACTTCTTGTGCAGCTTCTGCGTCTCATCGCGGGACGTGTCACGAGCCATGAGCATCTTCTCTGCCACCCAGTCTCCAAGCTGAGGGACAAGGGACAGAGCTGTCAGTACAGGATGATCTTGCCACTCAATGCATTTGTACTGTCATCTAGGTGGTCAATGAAGGCTACTAACAGATGTATGCAGAGTAGGATATATGCCTACATACATAGATACACACACACACACATATGCAGGCACGTGTCTGTACACACACACGTACACACACACACATACACAATACCTGTACAAGCACACACAGAGACGTATTCAGGCTGAACATATGACCATAGTCATGTGAAAAACTAAAAGATAAATGCAAACAATTGGTCAAAAATAAACACCCATAGAAAATAATAGAAAAGCAATCATCCAAACACATGAACACAGAGACGCACACAAGGTCAAGCACATGCATATTAAACACATACAGAAGACACATGTATGTAAACACGTGTTGTACACACAAGCATACACAATGGTAACAGGAATTCATTCACATGTACAAAGAACACGCACAAGCACACCTCAACACAAGCACATAATCCACTGGCACATTAGGTATAAAAGCAAGCTGACTACTACATTTAAGGCCAAACATACAAAATGACTTGCAAATATCCCTGCTCATTCAACACCATCAGCACAAGCAATATAAAAAGAATAATATCTTTCTATCTCCTGCCTGCCACCCACATATCTCCACCCCCATCCTCTGGACTCTCCTGTCCTCGACTGCTACTCCCCTGACATCTAACGAGAAATTGGTTCCATTTACCGGCAGGCAGCGTTTAACAGGAACGGCCCATAGGGTTGTGATGGGTGGCCGTATGTATCCACATCCTCGACCTGCCCATCCAGGTATAAATAAAGCACAAATCCTCCACAGTCAGATAGAGATGCTGCAGGAATTAAAACAAACAAGCAGCAAGGCAAAGCTGCTCCTCCCCCCAAAAAACGGATATAAAATGAGGCTGAGGCTGCACTAGCCTCTCTGCTGCTGTGTTGCCGTGGTGCGTTGCTGTGGCTGGTATGTTCAATCCAGAGAGAGGGAGATAGACAAAAAGGAGACGGACCAGTGACGAGAGAGAGAGAGATCTCCCCAAAACAATAAAATGGCAGGCTCCAGGAGCAGGTTTGCCCCTCCCCATGAACCCTCCCCTCTTCCCCTCTTTCAACCCCCACCTACAGCGAGCAGGCTGGTGGAGGACGGCCTTGGATTTGGAAACATCAGCGATGGCCTGGAGGCTCAGTGGTTGTGGTTAGTGATGCTGTGAGGAGAGGGAGGGAGGAGGGAGGAATGGGATGTGGGAAGAGGGGGCTGGCGTTTGATAGTGTTGAGGAGGGAGGATGGAGGGGAGAGATTCTGCTCCTCTGGCTCCTCCAAAGAAATCCAGACACGCTCGTCTCTCTTCAGAGCACCTCACGACTCCTCTATAACATTCTTATTGTCTTTCTTCTCCAGTCCCAACCCCCACCCCTTTTCCTTTTGCTCTCTCTCTCTCTCTCTCTCTCTCTCTCTCTCTCTCTCTCTCTCTCTCTCTCTCTCTCTCTCTCTCTCTCTCTCTCTCTCTCTCTCTCTCTCTCTCTCTCTCTCTCGGTTTTTCCCTCTGCTGCAGTCCTTGCCTCCTCCAGCTGCACGCGGCTGTATTCCGGGCTGTAACTAGCCCCAGTTTCCCCGACCCTGCTGCTGCTGCTGCAGTGGCTGAGCAGAGCGAAGTAATAGAAAGCTTGCACTGGATCGAGCCAGCGAGGGAGAGCCAGCGAGAGAGAGGAGGGGCGAGAGGAGGGAAGGGGGAGTGGGCGAGCTGCAGAGAGAGAGAGAGAGTTCCTACAATGTTGTGAGGCGTCACCAGGGAGAATGCTCTGCACTTGAAATTACATCACTGAGCGGAGGGGGTGAGATAATGGGACAGAGAAATACGGCGGGAGGGAGGGATTATTTCTTTGTGGTTTGATAGATTAACTGCTCTGCTTTCGTTTAAAGGGTCCATGGCATATTCTTCTCCAACTCCGCTTTTCTCCTCAACCTCTCGGCATCCTACTCTCTGGCGGCAGGGACCACCCCTGGGTGCTGCCCTCCTGACCAGAGAGATCAGTGGGGGTAACAGGCAGATAGCCCCCCTGGGACTCCAAATTAATTGGGGCCACGTGGAGACTGGGAGGCAGCAGCTTACGGGAAATATAGGAATGGCGCTCATCAAATGGATTCCAGTGTATCATTGCTATTAGAGATGATGAGCCTCTGCCTCCAGTCCACAGTCAGGTCAGATCAATGGGTGACCAGGCCTCCTCCTCCTCATGGCTCCATCTTACCCTGTTCACTCATGACTGCAAGGCCAGGCACAACTCCAACACCATCATTAAGTTTGCCGATGATGCAACAGTGGTAGGCCTGATCACCGACAACGACGAGACAGCCTATAGGGAGGAGGTCAGAGACCTGGCCGTGTGGTGCCAGAACAACAACCTCTCCCTCAACGTGATCAAGACAAAGGAGATGATTGTGGACTACAGGAAAAAGAAGAGGACCGAGCACGCCCCCATTCTCATGGACGGGGCTGTAGTGGAGCAGGTTGAGAGCTTCATGTTCCTTAGTGTCCACATCACCAACAAACTAACATGGTCCAAGCACACCAAGACAGACTTGAAGAGGGCACGACAAAACCTATTCACCCTAAGGAGACTGAAAAAATGTGGCATGGGTCCTCAGATCCTCAAAAGGTTCTACAGCTGCATCATCGAGAGCATCCTGACTGGTTGCATCACTGCCTGGTATGGCAATTGCTCGGCCTCCGACCGCAAGGCACTACAGAGGGTAGTGCGTACGGCCCAGTACATCACTGGGCCCAAGTTTCCTGCCATCCAGGACCTCTATACCAGGCGGTGTCAGAGGAAGGCCCTAAAAGTTGTAAAAGACTCCAGCCACCCTAGTCGTAGACTGTTCTCTCTGCTACCGCATGGCAAGCGGTACTGGAGCACCAAGTCTAGGTCCAAGAGGCTTCTAAACAGCTTCTACCCCCATGCCATAAGACTCCTGAACATCTAATCAAATGGCTACCCAGACTATTTGCATTGCCCCCCCCACCCCTCCCCTCCCCCTCCCCCCTTTTACGCTGCTGCTACTCTCTGTTTATTATGTATGCATAGTCATTTTAATAACTCTACTTACATGTACATATTACCTCAATTACCTCGACTAACCGGTGCCCCAGCACATTGACTCGGTACCGGTACCCCCTGTATATAGCCTCGCTATTGTTATTGTTACTGCTGCTCTTTAATTATTTGTTACTTTTATTTCAAATTATTTTATATTGTATTTTTGTGTGATTTTTTTTGTATTCTTTCTTAAAACTGCAATGTTGGTTAAGTGTCACGATCGTTGTAAGAACCGGACCAAGGCGCAGCGTGATAGGCGTACATCTTTTAATGAGTACTTTACATCCACAACAAAACGATACGTGAAGTCTAAAGGTTCTACACCAAAACAAACCTATACAGAACAAGATCCCACAAATAACTAGTGCCAACAGGCTGCCTAAGTATGGTTCCCAATCAGAGACAACGAGAATCAGCTGCCTCTGATTGGGAACCACCCTGGCCAACATAGAAAACACGAACTAGAAAAACAACATAGAAAATCACACATAGAAAATCCACACCCTGGCTCAACATATAAGAGTCCCCAGAGCCAGGGCGTGACAGTACCCCCCCCCCCCCCCCCCCAAAGGCGCGGACTGCGACCGCGCCAACCAAACCCAACAGGGGAGGGGCCGGGTGGGCAGTCCGCCTCTCTGAAGGGGTTTGCCAGAAGTTGACTGTGCAGTCAGAAAGATCCAGCAGGTCAACAACATCTAATCACATCAAAACCTCAGATGAGTCAAGTTAGTCTGTCACTCACATCCCCAAGTTAAGCATCTAACACAGCAGCCGGCTGGCTCAAATCCTTCAACTTACATAGAAAAGAAAATGTTGTCATCCCTGATATAAAGATTGAGGAAGCAATAGACCCCACCACATGTCTTCCAGATGTCATTCAATTTCAGGTAAGCAGAGTTTTTGTATATCACTGAAGGATCCAGCAACACGATATCCATCTGGAGGTTTAAGCCTGACCCCCTGTGGTCCCAAGCAGAGTCCATGTACAGTACAGTACAGCTCTGAACCCAAGCCCTTTTTTTAATCCCTACTTCCTCCCATTGGTTATTCCATTGATATGCCAGTGTTGGTTATGACAACACTATTCATGTTGTGTCCTACCTAACCCTAACCCTAACCCTAACCCTAACCCTAACCCTAACCCTAACCCTAACCCCCAACACTATTCATGTTGTGTCCTACCTCGTGGCAGTCCTGTAGTAACCTCTGGAGCCCCCACTGGCCGTTGAGCCTTTCCAGCCACTGTTGGGCCAGCTCCCGGTTCTGGTTGCCTCTGTGGAAGAGAGAAACATAGAGCCATTCATTGACACACTGCTCGATTCATTCACACAGTGCATCAATCACTCTACTGGTATATGCAACTGTAACTCTATTATGTAGATGGATTTGGTGCAGCACACCGAACAACAGTGAACAACAGTGAATCCATTATAAAGACATGAGTCGGCCAACGGTCTCATCTAAATATCTCCCTAACATGTGGTCACCCCATTCTATTGTTGGGGTGGAGAATTGAACATAGGGTAACTAGGCCCCTCCTTGCCTCACCAATCAGTATGAATTTTATGCTCTGCTGTTAAGGCAAGTATCAACAAGGGGAGTTTCTTTTCAGTTGCTTATGCTTTGTCTCCTCTGTGTACCATTGTGTTTGTGAAGCCCAGCTGCTACCAAGACCAGTTCATTATCACTATAATATAACATTTTATATTTCAATATCCATATTGCATTCATATATGGTATTGTGCCTCTGCTAAGTGACAAGTGACACATCTACCTATACCTCATGTGTTTCAGACTTGACCACAGCACCCTCCCTTGTATAAATAAGGACAGATGATTATTCAGTCATGCTGCTATATGGGTCGGACTAGCCTCACATTTCATTTTCATGCCTCTTCTATTCATAGTCAGAGATGTTTAAGAAAGATTGTAAATGGCTTTGATATACAGTGGCATGGTCAGACTAGAACAATCCTATGTCGCCACCCACCTGTTAGCGAGGGTGTCCACACGTTCCTTGATGCGGTTAGAGTAGATGTTGCTCTGGCTTATGAGGCTCTCTCCGGCCTCGATGACAGCCTTGATGCGATGCAGGTTGAGCTCCATGGTGGTGGTAAAGTCCTTGTGCTTCTTGATGGCAGCCTCCACCGTCTCCACCGTGGTGGGGAGCTCAACGTGAGCCAAGGCTGACTCCTGGAGGGGTCAGGGAGAATAGACAGAGTCAGAACCACACGTCAGTGAAGAGTTTATAAATGTACAAGAGAGTAGAGGGAATAGAATGAAAACTGAAAGAGAAAATGGGAATATTACTGTGGTAAGCTCTTGTGTAGTATGTGGGGAAAACCTTGCTCACAGACATGGGTATCATCTCATGGCATTTTACCAATAACTACATTAGCATATTTAGTACATGCAAAAGGTGCAGATTCTATTTTGCTGAGTGATAAATATACTGATCTCTAAGGACTATAATGAGGTCAGGTTTCAGTCATTATTGGCAAGGAACACTAAAATGTTTTCCTGATCAATGGATGGCATGAAAATAGCAGCCCTCTCAGGTTCAATTTCATACAACAAAGCTCTACCAAGATGTCTGAATTGTGACTGCTGAATTGTTGTGTTCAACACAATTACACATGAAGTAAAGCGATAGTGTAAGTACATTCCTACATGTCTGGTCAGATACACGTTACACTGGTTGAGAGAAACTTGGGTGAAAGACCAAAAACAAGTCATGGCACCCTGTTTGACAGTTATTCAAAAAGAAATCCGTTGGCCTTTGTGCCCGTAGGGTCTAAGGGAGAACTGGGTCTGTGGTAAAGGTCTGTTAGCAAACCAGAACAGACATGCTCTGACACACAGACAGAGAAGTCGGGGGAAATGCATGCCTTTTGACATTTCAACTGGAATAGAGCATGCAAAGACCCTGCAATGGAGTGCACTGTATAAAGTTGTGTATATATTCCATCATGCATAGCATAACCTATAGATAGACCATTATACTGTACATACTCGTACACATGACACAATAAAGGAAGATATACTGTACATGAATATAAAAGCAAAACAATGTGCCAAAAATGTTAAATTAACTATGTGTTGACATTTTAACCTAATGCATTGTACTGTATAAACACCCACATACAGACACTCAAGCATGTGAGCCCTAATACGCACAGTGACGACCAAATTGACAAAGCTTTGCCTTCATCATAATAGTGTGCAAGCAGGTAGTTATTCGTTTTGCTGCAGGTCTGCAATGTTGCAGGTCTACGATTGGTCATTGGTGGTGCTGTCATATCCAATAGCACATCTTGCTTGGATTTCCTGCTATAGAGCCACCTATGAATTCTACATCTAGGCTAGGGATCACAGGCATATGCTGTGCTGTGTTTAACTGTTAAAGCAACCCTCTGATAATTTCCACAATGCCCTTTCCACACCCTTTTTGGTTCTAGGTAGAACTCTTTTGGGTTCCATGTAGAAGGGTTCTCCATGGAACTCAAAAGGGTTCTACGTGGAACCAAAAATGATTATTCAAAGGGTTCTCCTATGGGGACAGCCGAAGAACCCATTTAGGTTCTAGATACCACCTTTTTTCTAAGAGTGCAGGCCTGGGGTTTTCCCTGGCAGCATAGCAGCAAATAGAACGCTGGCCACTCACTGTAATAGCACTGACCCTCACTGTAATAGCACTGACCCTCACTGTAATAGCACTGACCCTCACTGTAATAGCACTGACCCTCACTGTAATAGCACTGACCCTCACTGTAATAGCACTGACCCTCACTGTAATAGCACTGACCCTCACTGTAATAGCACTGACCCTCACTGTAATAGCACTGTGCTTCCACATCATCCATATCTAGTACAGTCAGAAGTCATATTGTACCGTCTTTAGCTATTCATGTTTAATATGAATTACTGACTAATAACACAGATTAGCTAAAGATGATTTGGGATTAATTGACTCATTGTGTTTTCTCACCACATAATATACAGTATGTAGGCCTAACTACTAGACATTGCTAATAGATATATTGGTGTTGGGATGTCCAACAAGAGGCTAACTGACCTGGTTGTTGAGGAAGGCCTCGGCCTGCTTGACGTCCCTCAGGAAGAGGTGGAAGATGTGCGCCTGCACCAGCACCTCCCTCCGGCTCTCCCACATCTCCAGCAGCTTGTTCCAGCCCACATCCAGCTTCTGGAGCCACTGCTGTAGCGCAGCATAGGGTAGTGGAGCCTCCTCGGCCTCCAGCAGCTCGTTGACTGCCTGCAGCCGCTCGTAGTCCTCCTCATACCTCCCGATCTCCTCCTTCAGTGCCGCGTGGTGGTTGATCAGCCTCTCAGCCTCCTCCAGCGCGTTGGGCAGCTCGTCGCTAGCTGCCGCCGTCTGCGTCTGCACCAGCCACGTCAGGAAGGAGTCCAGGTCCTGGATGAACTGCTGCAGCCGCCCCGCCACCATCAGAGAGTCCTCGCAGCCCTGCAGCGTGCGCTTCAGCTCCTCCCACTCCACACTGATGCCCTCGAAGGGCTCCAGGACCTCCATGGCTTTGGCCGGGTGTGAGATGGCCAGCTCCTCTGCCTCCTGCTGCAGGTGAAGCAGCTTGGGCTCCAGCACAGCCAGGGCCCCCTCCATGGTAGAGAGTCGGCGCTGCAGGGCCAGCACCCCGCCCAGGTCACTGCCCACGTACTGAGTGGCGTCGATGGCCTTGCGCTTCTCCTGGATCTGGGACTTGATCTCAGCACACTCCAGCAGGTAGTTCTGGAGACGGAGTACAGAGTCCAGGTGGTCCTTCTTCTGCTCCACCATCTCCACGATGCGGTTCCATCTAGAAGGGACAAACAGGGGCACAGGGGTGGGGAAGGGGGGTCAGACAGGGGCACAGGGGAGGGGACAGACAGGGGCACAGGGGTGGGGATGGGGGATCAGACAGGGGCACAGGGGTGGGGATGGGGGGTCAGACAGGGGCACAGGGGTGGGATGGGGGGTCAGACAGGGGCACAGGGGTGGGGATGGGGGGTCAGACAGGGGCACAGGGGAGGGGATGGGGGGTCAGACAGGGGCACAGGGGTGGGGATGGGGGGTCAGACAGGGGGCACAGGGGTGGGGATGGGGGTCAGACAGGGGCACAGGGGTGGGGATGGGGGGTCAGACAGGGGCACAGGGGAGGGGAGGGGAGGGCAGACAGGGGCACAGGGGTGGGGATGGGGGGTCAGACAGGGGCACAGGGGTGGGGATGGGGGGTCAGACAGGGGCACAGGGGTGGGGATGGGGGGTCAGACAGGGGCACAGGGGAGGGGAGGGGAGGGCAGACAGGGGCACAGGGGAGGGGATGGGGGGCAGGGTTAGTCTGCATCAGTTTGAAGCTTATAATTCACATATCATTCAGTCAGTATACTAAAACATACACTAAGTATGAAATATTGTTACAATTTTCATTTAGCCCAAGATAATGGAATCAATAGTGCAATTGATCGAATACATTAATAAGGGACATTGGTTTAGTGTGTTAGTTGTCATTTGCATCTCAAAGGGTTTTGGCTTTTTCTTGACACAGGCTGTGTCTAGCCTGTTTCCAGGCCAACAAATATTGTCCCCATGCAAAAGAACAGGCATGAATTATACTCATTTAGTGAAGCATATCCAACATGACGTCATGCCAGAACCCTATAGCCAGAGGCTTCAAAGGGTAGCATTATCATGTAGCACCATTGACCAGATATGGTCAAAACATTAAGCAAACCTGAAGAAGAGAGGCCGAAGTCTACCTAAACCATATAATAGAGCTGTACAATATCCATGAATGCTATATTTCGTCATAACTAAAACAGTTTGAGACTGAGGGAGAATATAGTAAAGCCAAAGAGAACACATTTTGGGCAGGTTGGTCTTGCACCCGGTGTGGCAGGCAGTCGACACAGATGGTCACCCTGAGATAGGCTATGTATGCCAAGATCAGGAGGAACTAGGCCACAGTAGCATTTCACCAAAACCATCATCCACTACCCTGGCCCTGGCCTTAGATCTGTCTGCCTGTGGCACCATGGTGTCACTAGGGTCTCTGGTCCAATTAGGTTCCAGGTCTATCAGCAGGGAGCATGCATGTGATCATCATGGCTTCTGTAGCTCCCGATCTGGGCCAAATCAGAACAGTGGACCAGATTATTCTAATCAACCCTCCTCCCTTCCCTTATATGGCAGGAAATGAGCTAAGAATGAGGTAACTGGGCCACTTTGAAAAAAAAATCATCAATGCACTACGCACCATGTGCTGTACATGGATTGACAGATGTGTTTCTATGGCTGCGTTTACACAGGCATCCCAATTCTGATATATACACTACCATTAAAAAGTTTGGGGTCACTTAGAAATGTCCTTGTTTTCAAAAGAAAAGCAAGTTTTTGGTACATTAAAATAACATCAAATTGATCAGATATACAGTGTAGACATTGTTAATGTTGTAAATGGCTATTGTAGCTGGAAATGGCTGATTTTTAATGGAATATCTACATAGGTGTACAGAAGCCCATTATCAGCAACAATCAGTCCTGTGTTCCAATGGCACGTTGTGTTTGCTAATCCAAGTTTATAATTTTAAAAGGCTAATTGATCATTAGAAAACCCAATTATGTTAGCACAGCTGAAAACTGTTGTGCTGATTAAAGAAGCAATAAAATTGGCCTTCTTGAGACAAATTGAGTATCTGGAGCATCAGCAATTGTGGGTTCGATTACAGGCTCAAAATGGCCAGAAACAAATAACTTTCTTCTGAAACTCGTCAGTCTATTCTTGTTCTGAGAAATGAAGGCTATTCCTTGCGAGAAATTGCCAAGAAACTGAAGATCTCGTACAACGCTGTGTACTACTCCCTTCACAGAACAGCGCAAACTGGCTCTAACCAGTCTCAACGTCAACAGTGAAGAGGTGACTCCGGGATGCTGACCTTCTAGGCAGAGTTGCAAAGAAAAATACATATCTCAGACTGGTCAATAAAAATAAAAGATTAAGATGGGCAAAAGACACTGGACAGAGGAAGATTGGAAAAAAGTGTTATGGACAGACGAATCGAAGTTTGAGGTGTTCGGATCACAATGAAGAACATTTGTGAGACGCAGACCAAATGAAAAGATGCTGGAGGAGTGCTTGATGCCATCTGTCAAGCATGGTGGAGGCAATGTGATGGTCTGGGGGTGCTTTGTTGGTGGTAAAGTGGCAGATTTGTACAGGGTAAACGGGATCTTGAAGAAGGAAGGCTATCACTCCATTTTGCAACACCATGCCATACCTTGTGTTGATTGGAGCCCATTTCCTCCTACAACAGGACAATGACTCAAAGCACAGCTCCAAACTATGCAATATCTATTTAGGGAAGAAGCAGTCAGCTGGTATTCTGTCTATAATGGAGTGGCCAGCACAGTCACCGGATCTCAACCCTATTGAGCTGTTGTGGGAGCAGCTTGACCGTATGGTACGTAAGAAGTGCCCATCAAGCCAATCCAACAAATTGACAACTAGAATGCCAAAGGTCTGCAAGGCTGTAATTGCTGCAAATGGAGGATTCTTTGACGAAAGCAAAGTTTGAAGGACACAATTATTATTTATATTAAAAATAATTGTTTCTAACCTTGTCAATGACTACATTTCCTATGCATTTTGCTATATTTCCTATTCAAACTAATTTAATGTATGTTTTCATGGAAAACAAGTACATTTCTAAGTGACCCCAAACTTTTTGAACGGTAGTGTATATATATTTTACTAATTGGTCTTTTGACCAATCAGATCAGCTCTTTACAGAATAGGGCTGCCTGTATAAATGCAGCCTATGTAGTGTTTAGTTTTGTAATAAATTACCTGTGTTGATGAATTCCCATGTTATTACACAATGCAGATAAGTCACATTTTCATCACATATTGGTGCTGTGTGGGTAAACAGAGAGACCCGTATGTCTATGTTATGTCTTGTAGTGGAGTAGACCTGGGGTGCATTCATTAGTGCACACCATAGCAAACTGTAGCAAAACATTCTTATTGGTAACGTTCAGGTTAGTCCTTCCTTGTTTTAGCCTTTTGCTTCTGTTTGGTTCCTAGTGAATACACCCCAGAGTTGGTCAGTCAGAGAACAGTGGGGTGGGTTACCTGCTGTTGAGGTGGTCCTGACAGCCTCTGACCTCTGTAGAGCTGGGGTGACCACTGTCCAGGAGCTGCTGCACTATCTGGTTCACGTCCAGGATCCTTCCCATCAGGCTGTTCATCTCCTGGTCCAGGCTCTCAAACCTACAGAGAGTGTGACATGAGAGTAGAGAGAATGTGTGTTTTAAATGCAATATGGCCATCAGCTAGTTATGACATATGCTTGGTCATTGTTATGACAGTGTTATGTCGCCCTTATGAGGGAGGGTTCAAGTAACGGATTCCCTAAAAATGCATGACCAACTTTATACCTAGAAGCATGACTTAAATCTAGCATTCTCCCTATGATCTCCACCCCAGACAGGAGCTGTACCTGTGGGCTATGACCTCCACGTCCTCCAGCCTCTCTGGAACCTCCATCTTATTGAGCCACTGCTCCTTCTCGTCGATCCACACCTCGCAGGCGTTAACCTCGCTGAACATGAGGTAGACGGCCAGCGCGTCGTGCAGCCACTGCTGCCTCAGAACGGCCACCTCGGCCACCTCGGCGTACAGCTGCTCTGCCTCGCCCATCCTCGACTGCACCTCGTCCAGCTCCCGGTAGTGCAGTGGCAGCGCCACCATGTGTTTGCGTAGAGTTACTACATGCAGCCGGTGCTTGTCCACGGCCTCGCGCACACCCCGGTGCTTCTTGAGCAGCGACTGGGTGGAGTACTCGTCGTGGCCAAAGTCCTCGCTGGACACTAGGCGGTAGGCGTCCTGCAGCCAGGCCAGCAGGTCGTCCGTCTCCGTGCTGAACTGGAAGAAGTTGAGTGCCTCCTGCAGGTGGCCCAGTCTCTGCGCCGCCTGGTCCTCCAGCCTCTTCCACTCCCCTTTCACCTCCATGATGCGCTCCTGGATGCTCCCCGTGCCGAAGCTCTTCTCCATCAGGATCTGCTTACCCTTCTTCATGGTCTGCTGGAGGAGGGAGCGGCGGGCCAGCAGCTCCCCAGCCAGGGTCTTGTGTTTCTGGAGCAGCCGCAGCACGCTGCTCAGGTCCTTGCCGCAGGTCTGGGCGGCCAGGATGGAGCTCTTCTCGCGGATCCAGGCCTCGGACTCCTCCACCTCCTGGAAGAAGGCCCAGAGGTGCTGTGACTCCTCCAGCTCCGAGCGCCGCTTGGCTGCCAGCTGCTTGAGCTCCTCCAGGCAGGTGCTGACGTGGTTGACCCGGTTGCAGATCACCTGGGGGTCACAGGGCTGGTAGCCTGGGAAGGAGCGAGAATAGGGGAAAGGGGACAGGGGACAGCACTCAATGTACATGTCTTTATTAGAGATGTCTATGGGGGACTGTATCTAAAGACTCAATTAACTTTGCATGTAAACAAAACACTATTACTGATATAAAATGGGCATAAAGTTTTACAAAATAACTAGGTAATATCCACAAAATTGAAAAAAAATAAAAATAATAACTTCTGTATTGTAAATGGATCTTCAGAAGATAAGTTGTGGAAAGTCATGCTTGCCCTCTTGTGGGTCTCTCTGGAAGTGCCATGACCATTTTCACCACTCAATGTACAGTAAACTATACTCCTACACACTCTTAATACAAAACATTCATTTTTTTTTTAACTGTGCATTTTTCCGGGACCATGGGAGACATAACAGCAATAGTCAGTATTTCTAATCCTATCGTATCCAAATATTTCCTCCCTCAAAATCACCAAGTTGTTATCAAGGCACATTCCACTTCTCACTGAAGATGATCTGTGAACATAGCCATCTGATGTCTTACCTTCGATGGTGGTGAATTTGAGAGCGGCTGTGTTAAGGGTCTGCACCCTCTCTGCCTGCACTGTGATGTCAGCTTCCTGGAGGCTGTGTTTCTGCAGCAGGTCGTCCACCTCCAGCAGATGCTTGCCGAAGTCTTTAGAAAGGAGCTGGACCTGTGGTGAGAGGGACGTTGGTCACCTTCCTGACACTCAGCAGTGCTTCCACTGACCAGGCTGCCTGTACTAAAACCTAAAAGTCAATGTCTCAAGGGTTTCTCACTGTTTTTTCATGTACTGTATCTCCACATTATAATTTCATGTGTACACGAATGTCAACCCACAGTCTATGCTGTTGAGTCGACACAACTTAGAGATAGTATAGTGGTCATGTAATGTAAAATGCATGACAAAATACTTGTCTCACCTGCATGTCCTCCATCCAGTCGATCATGTAGACCATGTCCTGGAAGGTCTTCTGCAGGGCCAGGTTCTTCTCCAGCCGGGCCTTCCTCCCCACCACCAGCTCCTTCAGCAGGCTCCACTGGCCCAGGATGTTCTCCTTGCGGGCCGAGATGCGTCGGATGTCGTAGTAGCCCTCCGTCTCCATCTCCCCAGCCAGCTCCACCACCACCCCGATGCGCTCCTCGTACGACGAGATGTCCGCCTCAATGGCCTCGTGCTTCTTCATGGCGGCCTCCACCGCTGGCAGGTCGTAGCCAAAGTTATCCTGGTGGGACGAGACATTCAGTCAGGCAGAGGTTCACTTAACTACAGGCAGGTGATTGTGTAAGGGTTTACCCAGTCAGGGCAATGCAGTCATAGGAAAATAAATCTTAATATACCAATTAATGTTATACAATACTTTGCCATTGGTTCTAAAAATACATTCTAAAGACATTTCATTCTCAATCCACAGCTATAAAACTATTGCTATAAGACTGTCAGGATATGGCCCCTGTGTGATATGATAGAGGCATTAGTCACTTCGGCCCTGTGGTCCCTACCTGAGACACGAGGCGCTGGTTCTCATTGAGCCATGCCTGTCTCATGGTGGTCTTGTGGTCAAACCGCTGTGCCAGCAGCTCCAGCTTCTCCTGGCGAATCAGCTCCTGCCGTAGGGCCACGCCTCTCTCATGCTCCGCCTTCTCCAGCCTCTCCCACGCCTAGCCAAATGAAAAACAGAGGGAAATTTACCCACAATGCAGCATGATAACAAACATAAAAAGGAGTAATTTTCACTGATTTGCTACATTTTAAAGAACCTGATACTGATAGAGAAGGATTTTATATTTGCCAAGACCTGTCCAGTTATTGCATTATCTGTTCAGGTATTTGAGACACTCCTTTTCCCACTTATACCAGTATTTATTACCTTATTGATATCAGAGATGAGTTTCCCTTCATGAGGCACGTATGGTTTCTGGTTGTTAGCTCTGAGCTTGCTTTGGATAGTAAAGAGGAGCACCTCCAGGTTCCCCTTCTCCTGGAACCTAGCACAAGACAGAAAGTGTGTTTCACAAACATCCTGAGACACAGTACTGTGCACAAGGTGGGCTCCATTTGAAACCTAAAATCACAGGTATCCCAGATCCTGTAACTTAAAATAATCATCTGCTCAGAATTGATAACAGTAGTGACGGTCATGGAATTTTGATGATGGTTATTGGTCAGCCAAATGACCGCGGTCACCGTTATAATTGTTTGAATCCTGCACGAATTCCCGGCCACCCTGTCTTCAGCCAGCTGTTTGTTCCACACAAAACAAACGGCTATGACGGTTATTTTCGGTCTTCATCCATAATCGTCGGTTACACAATCATACAGTCATTGTGCCAGCCCTATAAGTTACCCTATTCATCAATAGATTCTCTGTGACATTGCCTGCAGGCTTGACCTTCACATCAAAGGCCTTCATTATTACATGTGGCCTACCTCCACACACTGTCTAATTGTAACCTAATTCAAAATAATAAGTGGTCATCGCTGAGTCATCACCGAGCAGATTTCAGAGTCATATGATGGCTGACCACCTCTGGCCATTCGAGGGCTACCAGGGCAACTAGGCTGGGTGAGAAGCCGAGTAAGGCCTCAGAGATACTAGTCACCATAGGAGATGTCTATCCTCTAGCCACAGAGAGAAAGGGGCTGGAGACACATTTGGGTGTCACATCACTTAGATCCAGTCCCTTTTGGTCAAATAGGGCATGAGTCATATGGCACGGCTAACTGGGTGCTTAATTATGCCAGACATACCAGCTTGGGGCCTCATGCTGATACTCCTGCTGATACTAAAGTGCCCACACCCATCAATGTGTGGTTTTAGTTGAATACTGCAACAGTTATGGTATATACCACATATCAAATTGGAATAAGACAAATCAAAAGCATTTGTCTGGGGGCATTCACCTGAGAAAATAACATAAAACTATAAGCTATAAGAACTATAAAACTATCTAAAACTATAAAAGGATGAAACTATTGACTCAACCTAAATCCTGTCCTTAAACTAAAGCAACCAAAATTGTTTAGTGATATTTGTATAAAGCAAAAGTTTGAAGTTTGAAACCCTCTGGTGTATGAATGGGACCACTTTAGATAGAAAAATAATTGACGCTATATAATTTATGCTTTTATGTGTCATTTGCACAGTGTTGACTTACTTGATGGGCTTCTCGATGGTGCAGTAGGTGGTGAAGGCTTGAAGCTGTTGCTGAACACCCGTTAAGGAGTTGGCAAACTTCTGGTTGCTGATGATGGCTATGGTCTTCTCGATCCACTCCAGGAGCTCCGAGGCCAGAGCCTCATATCGATCGATCATCTTCTGACCCTCAATGGCATTGTCCAAGACCTGTATAACACATAAACATTTAGCATGGATGGATATTACGTAGGAGTGATTTAATTAATAACTTTTGTTTAATAGCATTTGATAATGGATTGAATCGTTATCAGTTTGTTTTGACCTACACAACTACACTCGTGTGCAAAACATATGACATACATATCGCTCATGTTACTCATGTGTTCATAACATACAGTACAGACGAGGGGTGGCGGTCTCTGTATATTTGTAAACAACAGCTGGTGCACCAAATCAAATACTAAGGAAGTCTCAAGGTTTTGCTCGCCTGAGGTAGAGTATCTTATGATAAGCTGCAGACCACACTATTTACCAAGAGAGTTTTCATCTATATTTTTCATAGCTGTCTATTTACCACCACAAACCAATGCTGGCATTAAGATTGCACTGAATGAGTTGTACAAGGCCATTAATCAACAGGAAAACGCTCATCCAGATGCAGCGCTCCTAGTAGCAGGGGACTTTAATGCAGGGAAACTTAAATCCGTTCTACCTAATTTCTACCAGCATGTTAAATGTGCAACCAGAGGGGAAAAAACTCTAGACCACCTTTACTCCACACACAGAGACGCATACAAAGCTCTCCCTCGCCCTCCATTTGGCAAATCTGACCATAACTCTATCCTCCTGATTCCTGCTTATAAGCAAAAACTGAAGCAGGAAGCACCAGTGATTCGGCTAATAAAAAAGTGGTCAGATGACGCAGATGCTAAGCTACAGGACTGTTTTGCTAGCACAGACTGGAACATGTTCCGGGATTCTTCAGACAGCATTGAGGAGTACACCACATCAGTCACTGGCTTCATCAATAAGTGCATCGATGATGTCGTCCCCACAGTGACCGTACGTACATACCCAAACCAGAAGCCATGGATTACAGGAAACATCCGCACTGAGCTAAAGGGTAGAGCTGCCGCTTTCAAGGAACGGGACTCTAACCCGGACGCTTATAAGAAATCCCGCTATGACCTCCGACGAACCATCAAACAGGCAAAGAGTCAATACAGGTCTAAGATTGAATCATACTACACTGGCTCTGACGCTCGTCGGATGTGGCAGGGCTTGAAAACTATTACAGACTACAAAGGGAAGCACAGCCGCGAGCTGCCCAGTGACACAAGCCTACCAGACGAGCTAAACCACTTCTATGCTCGCTTCGAGGCAAGCAACACTGAAGCATGCATGAGAGCACCAGCTGTTCCGGACGACTATGTGATCACGCTCTCCGTAGCCGATGTGAGTAAGACTTTTAAGCAGGTCAACATTCACAAGGCCGCAGGGCCAGACGGATTACCAGGACGTGTACTCCGAGCATGTGCTGACCAACTGGCAAGTGTCTTCACTGACATTTTCAACATGTCCCTGACTGAGTCTGTAATACCAACATGTTTCAAGCAGACCACCATAGTCCCCGTGCCCAAGAACTCTAAGATAACCTGCCTAAATGACTACCGACCCGTGGCACTGACGTCTGTAGCCATGAAGTGCTTTGAAAGACTGGTCATGGCTCACATCAACAGCATAATCCCAGAAACCCTAGACCCACTCCAATTTGCATACCGCCCCAACAGATCCACAGATGATGCAATCTCTATCGCACTCCACACTGCCCTTTCCCACCTGGACAAGAGGAACACCTACGTGAGAATGCTATTCATTGACTACAGCTCAGCATTCAACACCATAGTGCCCTCAAAGCTCATCACTAAGCTAAGGATCCTGGGACTAAACACCTCCCTCTGCAACTGGATCCTGGACTTCCTGACGGGCCGCCCCCAGGTGGTAAGGGTAGGTAACAACACATCTGCCACACTGATCCTCAACACGGGGGCCCCTCAGGGGTGCGTGCTCAGTCCCCTCCTGTACTCTCTGTTCACCCATGACTGCATGGCCAGGCACGACTCCAACACCATCATTAAGTTTGCCGACGACACAACAGTGGTAGGCCTGATCACCGACAACGATGAGACAGCCTATAGGGAGGAGGTCAGAGATCTGGCCGTGTGGTGCCAGGACAACAACCTCTCCCTCAACGTGACCAAGACAAAGGAGATGATTGTGGACTACAGGAAAAAAAAGAGGACTGAGCACGCCCCCATTCTCATCGACGGGGCTGTAGTGGAACAGGTTGAGAGCTTCAAGTTCCTTGGTGTCCACATCACCAACGAACTATCATGGTCCAAACACACCAAGACAGTCGTGAAGAGGGCACGACAAAGCCTATTCCCCCTCAGGAGACTAAAAAGATTTGGCATGGGTCCTCAGATCCTCAAAAAATTCTACAGCTGCACCATCGAGAGCATCCTGACTGGTTGCATCACCGCCTGGTATGGCAACTGCTTGGCCTCTGACCGCAAGGCACTACAGAGGGTAGTGCGTACGGCCCAGTACATCACAGGGGCAAAGCTCCCTGCCATCCAGGACCTCTATACCAGGCGGTGTCAGAGGAAGGCCCTCAAAATTGTCAAAGACTCCAGTCACCCTAGTCATAGACTGTTCTCTCTGCTACCGCACGGCAAGCGGTACCGGAGTGCCAAGTCTAGGTCCAAAAGACTTCTCAACAGCTTTTACCCCCAAGCCATAAGACTCCTGAACAGCTAATCATGGCTACCCGGACTATTTGCACTGCCCCCCCCACCCCATACTTTTTACGCTGCTGCTACTCTGTTAAGTATTTATGCATAGTCACTTTAACTCTACCCACATGTACATATTACCTCAACTACCTCAACTAGCCGGTGCCCCCGCACATTGACTATGCAACGGTACCCCCCCTGTATATATAGCCTCCCTACTGTCACTTTATTCTATTGTATATATAGCCTCCCTACTGTCACTTTATTTTTACTTCTGCTCTTTTTTTCTCAACACTTTTTTTGTTGTTGTTTTATTCTTACTTTTTTTGTTTAAAATAAATGCACTGTTGGTTAAGGGCTGTAAGTAAGCATTTCACTGTAATGTCTGCACCTGTTGTATTCGGCGCATGTGACCAATAAAATTTGATTTGATTTGATTTGATATCACTGTATATATACTGTATATCACTGTATACTGTATAATATATTTACACAGGTTCCAATGACAACTGTTTTACCATGTACAGCAGGATCCAGGGTTAAATAGTGTGTGTCAGCATTCTCATACCTTTCCCACTCTCTTGCCCTCTACTCGAAGGGCTTTCATCTTGGAGAAGTAATGGTAGTAGGACACAACATAGGTTATTATCGACTTCTCATCTGGGTTCTCCGTATTCACGTCTGCAGAGTCACACAGGAGGGACAACAATACATAGACATTGACATCACACATACACTATATAACATAATCACACCTTCACATGAAATCATTTTAGTAGTGTAAAATATCAACTATGGTCACTGTAGCTGAAAGTCTGTGATGGTTTGCATGTTTGAGATATATGTTACCAAATGTCCATGAATTGTTGAGGAGGTTGTCTAGCTGCTATTTCAATTCTTTGTGCAGTCTTACCTTCAGGGTCCAGGAGTTTGGTGAGCCCCAGGTTCTGCTCAGCAATGTTGAAGGCTTGCTGGAGGTTGTGTGTGGCATTGGACCGGATCAGCTTATGGAATTCAATCAAATCAGGCCTGTAGTAAAGTATGGTCACTTAGTTCACTTTCTACATGGTCACATAAATACATCTTTTAAAACAAGACTTGCTTGTTTAGCCAATGCTGACCTGTGTCGGTGAATGAGAGCGTTGAAGGCGAGACCATCTCTCCAGCATGTGGTGAAGTTCTGGATGTTGACCTCAGAGTACCTGTGGGACAGTTGACACAGAACACACTCACAACCATTGTTCCAATACATACAGTACCAGTCAGAAGTTTGGACACACCTACTCATTCAAAGTATTTTCTTTATTTTTACTATTTTCTACATTGTAGAATAATAGTGAAGACATCAAAACTATGACATAACCTATATGGAATCATGCAGTAACCAAAAAAGGGTTAAGCAAATCAAAATATATTTTAAATTTTAGATTCTTCAAAGTAGCCACCCTTTGCCTTGAAGTAGCCACCCTTTGCTTTGATGACAGCTTTGCACACTCTTGGCATTCTCTCAACCAGCTTCATGAGGAATGCTTTTCCAACAGTCTTGAAGGAGTTCCCACATATGCTGAGCACTTGTTGGCTGCTATTCCTTCACTCTGCAGTCCAACTCATCCCAAACCATCTCAATTGGGTTGAGGTCAGGGGATTGTGGAGGCCAGGTTATCTGATGCAGCCCTCTATCACTCTCCTTGGTCAAAAAGCCCTTACACAGCCTGGAGGTGTGTTTTGGGTCATTGTCCTGTTGAAAAACAAACTATAGTCCCACTAAGCGCAAACCAGATGGAACGGCGTATCGCTGCAGAATGCTGTGGTAGCCATGCTGGTTAAGTGTGCCTTGAATTCTAAATAATTCACAGACAGTGTCACCAGCAAAGCCAGCAAAGCACCCCCACACCATCACACCTCCTCCATGCTTCACGGTGGGAACCACACATGCAGAGATCATCCGTTCACCTACTCTGCGTCTCACAAAGACACAAACCAAAAATCTCCAATTTGGACTCCAGACCAAAGGACACATTTCCACCGGTCTAATGTCCATTGCTTATGTTTCTTGGCCCAAGCATGTCTCTTCTTATTTCTTTGCAGCAATTCAACCATGAAGTCCTGATTCACACAGTCTCCTCTGAACAGTTGATGTTGAGATGTGTCTGTTACTTGAACTCTGTGAAGCATTTATTTGGGCTGCAATCTGAGGTGCTGTTAACATTAATGAACTTATCCTCTGCAGCAGAGGTAACTCTTGGTCTTCCTTTCCTGTGGCGGTCCTCATGAGTGCCAGTTTCATCATAGCGCTTGATGGTTTTTACGACTGCACTTGAAGAAACTTTCAAAGTTGTTGACATTTTCTGGATTGACTGACCTTCATGTCTTAAAGTAATGATGGACTGTCATTTCTCTTTGCTAATTTGAGCTGTTCTTGCCATAATATGGACTTGGTATTTTACCAAATAGGGCTATCTTCTGTATACCACCCCTACCTTGCCACAACACAACTGATTGGCTCATACGCATTAAGGAGGAAAGAAATTCCACAAATTAACTTTTAACAAGGCACACCTTTTAATTGAAATGCATTCCAGGTGACTACCTCATGAAGCTGGTTGAGAGAATGCCAAGCGTGTGCAAAGCTGTCATCAAGGCAAAGGGTGGCTACTTTGAAGAGTCTCAAATATAAAATATATTTTGATTTGATTAACACTTTTTTGGTTACTACATGTTTCCATATGTGTTATTTCATAGTTTTGATGTCTTCACTATTATTCTACAATGTAGAAAAGAGTAAAACTAAAGAAAAACCCTTGAATGAGTAGGTGTGTCCAAACTTTTGACTGGTACTGTATATGCTATCTAACTAAAGACATTGCATGTAACAATGGAAGTAAAACAACTCAACATCCTTAAAGACATGTATAGAAAGTGGAAACTGTTCAATTTTGGCTTTTGGTTAAATTAAGACACTCACCCAGCGGTTTTCATCTGGCACCAGAGTAGCAGGGCATCCTTTGCCGACCGCGTCTCCCTGTTGTCGTCACACTCAATCTTAATCCCCTGGATCTGTATGTACAGGGAAGGAGAGCAGACGACCAACAACCACGGTCAAGGAACCAGCCTCAAAACTGTCCTCAGTTCAGTAAGATCACCAGATTACTATGAGGTTGAGAAGAAAACAGTTAGGAAACACACCCATATTGCTGGTCAGTTTCAAACATTCTGAACCCAAAACCCAGTGCCTTTCAACAGCCACACCAGGAGTGTATTCATTACGCCAATTCTGTTGCAAACAGTTTAGTCTGTTTCAAAATGTTTTGCAACAGAAACCGTTCACTCTAAACGGAAAACAAGAGTTTCTATTGGACAAATTCAGGTAGTCCCTCCCCATTTCATTCCATTTGCTCTGTTTGCTTCCGTTTGGTTCTTAAATGGTAAGCGGTTTCCGTTGCAAGACGTAATGAATACACCCCAATAGTCACACAACTGCATTGCATGTCTCATCACTAACTCACACACAGTGCCTGTCATGTTGGGAGGAAGGCCACAGAATCATGACAACATCACTGTGCGCCCTCATCATCTATGACAGCCATTGGCCCAATCATGTCACCCTGACATGACACATGTTAATGGGGGGGTTGACACCCTAGAATCTGCTAGATCACCCATTTCAACCAATCGCACTTCATCCACTCACATACACGCTCACTCACACTGGAAAGCAACTGCAGGTTTATAGGACTATACTGCATGTATACACGGTTTAGTCTCCACCTACAAGGAACGGTTATTTGTGATTAAATTATGATAGGATAACACTACCGGTATGTTAAACTGAACAACTATAGTTCAAATGAACTGCTGCCCAGAACCAAACTGACTTTTCACAAGAGCCAATGATGACATTCCATCTCTAAAATGTACCTTACCTGCTCATATTTCAGATCAGGCAGATTTGAAATACCCTTGCTCGCAGTGCATATCATCCAACAACAAACAAGATCCCTGAGAGAAACAAACTGTCTGACAGTGACAGAGAGGCATACACCACGCAGGTCACAATTAGGTAGCACAAACACAACGACACTGAGCGAAGCAACTAGAATGGAATAGTTAAGTTACTAAACATAATGAAGGTATCAAGTGTTTATTAGAGCCTTCAAATCGGCTCCTGGAGATCATTTACCTCCTGGAGGCCTCTTTTCCCCCCTTTCTCTCGCTGTGTCTGCTGCCTGCTGCAGTGGCTAGGCCTTACCTGCTGACTGGGCAAAGTAAACTGAAACAGTCCAAGGGTAGGGGAGAGGTGGAAGAGAGGGAGAGAGAAAGGAATAGAGAGAAAGAAAGAGAGAGAGAGACAGAAAGGGAGGAGAGACGTAGTAAACTAAAAGAGGAGTGTGACGAGAGAGTGATGAGACAACCACAAACGGTTGCAGAATCGGTGACAGAGAAGGAAGGAGGAGTGGCAGAGTGAGAAGGAGGGAAGGTGTGGGAGGAGGATTGGCGCTGACTGCATCTTGCCCCGCCCAGAGCAACACCCCTTGCTCCCTACAGCACAAATCAGTTTCCAATAACGCGCTCCTCTTTCACTGCATGCAAAATTGAAGAGGCCATCGACTCGCTGGCTCCACAGTCAGTGCAGTAGAATGGGATGCCGGCCAAAAGTGCCCCAGCTAACCCGTAATCACTGTTAGAAGGCAGAACGATAAGCTATGCCATGTTAGCCTCTCCTCCTGAGACCCTAGGCACCACTAGCCTATGTCCCTGAATCATATTTACAGAGTAACGCTGATTTGAATAATGCAAGACATGCGTTTATGCTGAGACCACCACTGTCCTGAAGCGACAACAAAAGCCAAACGATTTTGTGCTACTTACATGACTGTCACTTGTCTGTGGTATCGCGTCCTGTAAGGCCTTGTGCCCATTGTATGTGTACAGTATGTCTCTGAGGCAGATGTCAGACAGTACGTCCCTGTTTGAGATCCAACTACGATCAGGACCAGAGTGATATTCAAGCTTTGCTAGTAACGTCACACAGTGATGACGCGGCATGTTTCAGGGCTTCTCCATACAGTCTTTTGGCCAGTCTATAAATCATTCTGATTTATGCCCTTTCTCTCCTAAATTAAGACAGTGCTGAAACCAGCATGCCTGTTGTGACTGATTTGTAATAGACTGTCATAGCCCCAGTTAAAAAAGTAAACATTGGCTGTTGATTACATCCCTTTTTGTACATGGTGGGGTCGCACATTTTTTGAAATATCAAAATGGGGTCACAGGCCAAATAAAGTTTGTGGACCACTGCCTTAGTGGGAGTGCCCATAGAATTATATGTGAGTGACCTACTGAGTAAAGTACTTTGTGGGAGATTACGCTAATGCCTATACGCCGGTCATTCTGTATTGGCTAAAGAAGGCCATGTTTAACACGTTGGTCCACCAGACTCTTCCTGACTCTTTGGGCAGATTGTCTATTATGTCATATCGTAGAACATGCACCAGTCAGAAACAGGAGTTTGTAGAAACAATGGTGCACACCCACATAAGGTTCATCATCCACATGCTGACTGAGTTCAAAAGTACCCCACAGGGACAAAGAAAGAATAGAGCTACACAGCACTAAAACATACAGTCCTCAACATGAACCACACACAGGCCTGCAGGAACTGGATGCCCAAAATACCTCAGCAGAGGTTAAGCTAGCAGCAGGTCTTAAGGACAATCCCAACAGGGTACAGGAACGGCCCCACAGGAGTTGGCTGCATGACGAAATAAAAAAATGTACATCCAAAATACAACCACAACAGAAACCACAGAGACAGACAACACCAGGCACCAGGACGTGTGGGCTAGGTCACTACCTGGAAGCGAAGGATGATGGTCCAGATGAGGCCAAGGGTGAGGCGGTGGTTGCCGTCGACGATGTCATGAGAGCCGACGTTCTCCAGGTGGACTCTCTGCTCCTTGAGGAACTGCAGGGCCTTGTCCACGTTCTCCAGGCAATGGATCCGCATGCGACCCCGCGTGGGCCTCGGCTAGGGGAGGGAGGGATGGGGGAGGGGAGGAGGGAGGGAGAGAAGGGTGAGAGGACAGTGAGGTAAGGAGGGAATGAGAGAGGGAACAACAGTGGAATTGTGAGAGGAGTAATGCTTGATTGGTCACAGCAATCTGCATGGGAAATACTGGCTTTGATCTCAATGCCTTTATAGTAAGACAATATTTTTCTCATTAAAAACACAATGGCAAAGAACGCAAATGCTGTTCCCATCCAATTGTCAAACCACATTATGCTGACTCCTATTCTCATACAATTACACATAACATATAGCTGCAGTGCTGACAACATTCATGAAACATTTAGACATGACTTAATAATATTTGGAACAAAAATAACTACAATGCAGAGCTCTTTGTTGAATAGTTTGTGTTTGTTCTCCTAGCATCTACTGACTTAAAGGTTGACTGAGGTTGTGAACCAGAGAATGGGTTGACCAACCAGCATCTCCCCAGACAGCACCTCCAGCAGCCTGGTGAGCATGTAGCCGTCTCGGAGGTCGTTGTAGAGGTCAGCGATCCGACAGGACACTCTGGCCAGGTGGGAGTTCACCCACTTAGTGAAGGTCTTCTTTTGGACAGCATCTCTCTCTTCTGCAGGAGAAATTAGATACACACAAGGCTTACAGACGTAGGATCTTAATTTGAGCCAGTTTGCTACAGCAGGAAAATAAACCTGCAGCAACAGGAAATGTGAATTATCATGTGGAATTTTATGGACATTTTTGTGTGGTGTTGATCCATTTTATGTTAGGGCAAATCAAGTCTGACATTTGAAAGTAGAAATTACAAACTTTAGAATCCTTTTTTAACCTTGAATATACTACAAGTTTGCGTTTCCTGCTGTGCAGGAAAATTCTCAGCAACAAAAGAGTGATCAAATTAAGATCCTACTTCTTTAGTTCATCAGGATAGAGCTCTGATCAGTGATGTAGTTACTAAACCTCATATCTGAGTCATGTCCCCAGTCACTACTGGTCCAGTCCGAGTCACCACTGGTCCTGGACTCAAGTAATACAACACTGGCTCTGATATATCAACCATACCTCCTTGTCAGTAGCCCCCTGTATGATAGATCATGAATCAAGTCCTTCCACAAATGTAAACCTCCATCAGGTATACTGGGGGGGTCTATGAAGCTTGTGTGTTTTGTGAGTGATGGAGCTGTGACTGAGACAGGTGAAGGTGCTCTTGCTCCTCAAGTCCAGTATGGTCTAGTCTCTCTATCCACCCACCTGCCAAGGCCTTGATGCGGGAACACTCAAACAGTTTGGAGCTGGTCACCTCGGTTTCCCAGTGTCCCGAGCTGCCGGCCAGACGGGTGTTGTTGTTGTTGAGCTGGCGCTGGGCCTCCGCGTTGTCCAGGTCTGTGGAGGCATTGGCCATTGCGCCTATTTCCCCGAGCAACCCTGCAGACACACAGTAGGAGAGTTCCTCATTCAATACTCACCCATTTGCTTATCAAGAACATTTATGATACTTCATAATAATTTCTCATTCATGACTCATCATTTGCATAAAATACATAACAGAGGGAGTTTGGCACACTCTTCTTCCCTTATCATGTCTTTAAAAAAATAACTTTATTGAAACAACTGGCTCATATTGTGTCTCTTTCACATCAAGTGGGATGAGATCAGAGCAGTGCCGTCAGTAAACAGTACAATAAATCAACCAGAGAGCTACTGCCCTTATCCCCAATCCCTCTGGCTCTTTGTCATGTTATACTCATGTAAGTATGAATATGGACATGTTCAAGTATACAGTTGAAGTCTGAAGTTTATATACACTTAGGTTGGAGTCATTAAAACTCGTTTTCCAACCATTCCACACATTTCTTGTTAACAAACTATAGTTTTGGCAAGTCGGTTAGGACATCTACTTTGTGCATGACACATGTATTTTTTCCAACATTTGTTTACAGACAGATTATTTCACTTATAATTCACTGTATCACCTTCCATTGGTCGAAGATTTACATACACCAGTTGACTGTGCCTTTCAACAGCTTGGAAAATTCCGAAAATGATGTCATGGCTTAGAATGTCCAATCAGGCTAAAGTCGTGCTTCAAATGGCTCCCCCCCCTTTTGGGGCGATTTCAGTCAGGTTGAAAATCGCCCAGAAGTCTGTCATAGACTCCCATGTAAAATCTATTTTTTTCAAATTTCAGAGCTTTCAATACAATCTCTATGGGTGTCTGAGGGCTTGCACTTACGCGCTTTCGTCATACGTAACGTAACCATGAACGTAACTAAGAAAAGAGCGGATTGTGTCTTTGAAAGAAGTTCCTTTTTGTCGGCGAACAAATGAAGATAAATTGGCAACGAAACAATTAGGACCTCCCAGACCAAATTTAATAATTCAACAGGTTTCTACTAAAGGCGGAAAGTCCTACACCCGAGAATTTTCCAAAAATTGGTACGAACAAAAAAATAACATTGCCACTCAACTGGATGAGGGATACAGGCTAGCTGTCCGCCGCCACAACGATGAGGTTAGTGTTGATAATCACAAGTTTACTGGAGAACTGAGACCAAGTAGAGACTTTGGACAGGGTGGATATGGTATAATAAAGGCAGTTTATTCAGAGGTAAAGATATCTGGAATCGCGTGCACGGACCCGTTCGTCAAACTCTTAGGGAGCTATACATTAAGCCCCATTACTTACCATATCAGATAAGAGAAATTGCTGCAGCTACATATATTTTACATCCTGGCCCTACATAGTTCACTATTTGCATCACTTACCAAAATATTACATGTGGTCATATATGCTTGGAAAGTGGAGATGCCATAGAACGTCAAAAAAGTAAACATTGCTGGAGACACATTGCCGTTTTGGAGAAGACATCGCGTTTGCTAGCGAAGAGATTTGTTGTGGCAAATGAACTTGGGCTGGGAATTGCCAGGAACCTCACGATAAGATATATGCATTGCGAGTCTCATGATTCTATACGTATTGCGATTCGATACTGTGATTTTATTGCGCACCATATGTCTGTTGCAGAGGGATCAGAAAGCCATGAGAACGAGTTTTGATCAGTCATGGAAATAAAAGTGCTGAAAACAAATTGGCTCCCAATGTGAAAAGATTGAGAACAAGCTATGAAGGAACAATAATGGTGTTTTGGTGCAGGTACAGCCAACTAGCGCTAAAATATTGCGATATTGTCAATACAGTATATCGTAAAGTATCACTATGTAACTCGATTTCTTTCACCCCAATCCCTCAAATTAACGGTAAATAACTGAATTGTTTGCCCCACATTTAGCTAAGATGATTAGCTAGCCAGCTAAAATGTTTTATTTAGTTAGCAGTCGCATCTACAATAGTTTACTGTCAATAACATGTCTCCAAAAATGACGTGGTGTCTCCAATTGTGTTGACATTTTACAATTGCGATGCGCATCCATGAGTATCCACTTTCTGTAGCTCAGCTGGTAGAGCACGGCGCTTGTAACGCCAAGGTAGTGGGTTCGATCCCCGGGACCACCCATACACAAAAATGTATGCACGCATGACTGTAAGTCGCTTTGGATAAAAGCGTCTGCTAAATGGCATATTATTATTATTATTATTATTATCTGAAGAGAGCCCCGAAACATTGTGTGCAGACATTTTATGCAATAAATGAAGTAGGTTGAATCTAGTAGTTCTGATATTCTGATTGGTCCTGATGAGTTGGGCGAGGTCCCCTCCAGGCTACTGTCACTGTTGCATTGGCTCTGAGTCGGGTTCTCTGTCTTCAAATGTTCAGCCTAAGAGAGGGGATTTGTGTGTGTGTGTGTGTGTGTGTGTGTTTAACAGTGATGATGTGTGTGTGTGTGTGTGTGTGTGTGTGTGTGTGTGTGTGTGTGTGTGTGTGTGTGTGTGTGTGTGTGTGTTTAACAGTGATGATGTGTGTGTGTGTGTGTGTTTGTGTGTGTGTGTGTGTGTCCTCAGAGCAAGAACTCGTGAGTTGGAAGAACTGAGAGGCCTATGGCGTGGGTGTTGTCCTTGGCCACCTGCTGACAAGGCTGACAAGATAGGACCCTTTTGTCCATTGTTATTGGATAGGAACAGAACTTATAACCAGCTCCTGACCTAAATAGATCTTAGCACAACATTTTACTCAACATATCATATTCCATATTCACTATAACAAATATATTTACTACGACATTAGCAAGAACCGCCACATCCTCAGCCGGCTAATCCAGTGTGTGAAGTTTTGCGGAGTGTTTGAGTTAGCTTTGCGAGGCAAAGATGAAACTGAGGGCTCCACCAACCCTGGTAAGCCAACACTTTTGAGATCAGTCAATAAATGCTTCTGGTATTGACTTATATGCTGCCCCTGTCTTCATGTTGTTGCTGGACATATCTTTTTTTAAATGTGTGTAGGTCACCTAAATCATCAGAAAAATTGCCCCCCCTGAGAATTTTTTCAGGAGCCGCCACTGATTCCAGTGGGTCAGAAGTTTACATACACCAAGTTGACTGTGCCTTTAAACAGCTTGGAAAATTCCAGAAAATGATGTCATGGCTTTAGAAGCTTCTGATAGGCTAATTGACATCATTTGAGTCAATTGGAGGTGAACCTGTGGATGTATTTCAACGCCTATCTTCAAACTCAGTGCCTCTTTGCTTGACATCATGGGAAAATAAAAAGAAATCAGCCAAGACCTCAGAAAAAAAAATGTTTGACCTCCACAAGTCTGGTTCATCCTTGGGAGCAATTTCCAAACGCCTGAAGGTACCACATTCATCTGTACAAACAATAGTACGCAAGTATAAACACCATGGGACCACACAGCCATCATACCGCTCAGGAAGGAGACGCTTTCTGTCTCCTAGAGATGAACGTACTTTGGTGCGAAAAGTGCAAATCAATCCCAGAACAACAGCAAAGGACCTTGTGAAGATGCTGGAGGAAACAGGTACAAAAGTATCTATATCCACAGTAAAACGAGTCCTATATCGACATAACCTGAAAGGCCGCTCAGCAAGGAAGAAGCCACTGCTCCAAAACTGCCATAAAATGCCAGACTACGGTTTGCATCTGCACATGGGGACAAAGATTGTACTTTTTGGAGAAATGTCCTCTGGTCTGATGAAACAAAAATAGAACTGTTTGGCCATAATGTCCATCATTATGTTTGGAGGAAAAAGGGGGTACCTTGCAAGCCGAAGAACACCATCCCAACCGTGAAGCACGGGGGTGGCAGCATCATGCTGTGGGGGTGCTTTGCTGCAGGAGGGAGTGGTGTACTTCACAAAATAGATGGCATGATGAGGAAGGAAAATTATGTGGATATATTGAAGCAACATCTCAAGACATCAGTCAGGAAGTTAAAGCTTGGTCGCAAATGGGTCTTCCAAATGGACAATGACCCCAAGCATACTTCCAGAGTTGTGGCAAAATGGCTTAAGGACAACAAAGTCAAGGTATTGGAGTGGCCATCATAAAGCCCTGACCTCAATCCTATAGAGAATTTGTGGGCAGAACTGAAAAAGCTTGTGCGAGCAAAGAGGCCTACAAACCTGACTCAGTTACACCAGCTCTGTCAGGAGGAATGGGCCAAAATTCACCCAACTTATTGTGGGAAGCTTGTGGAAGGCTACCCGAAACCTTTAACCATGTTAAACAATTTAAAGACAATGCTACCAAATACTAATTGAATGTATGTAAACTTCTGACCCACTAGGAATGTGATAAAAGCTTAAATAAATCATTCTCTCTTCTATTATTCTGACATTTCACATTCTTAAAATAAAGTGGTGATCCTAACTGACCTAAGACAGGGAATTGTTACTAGGATTAAATGTCAGGAATTGTGAAAAACTGAGTTTAAATGTATTTGGCTAAGGTGTATGTAAACTTCCGACTTCAACTGTAAGTGTGGAGGGAATCTGGGAGGGGTAAAATGTACTTTCTTTGCAATGGGAGACTGAGCGAGGTTGAACTATTTTCTGTTACAATACCAGCTATTGTCCTTGAGGCACCTCACAAAGCACAAAGATTTTTTAAATCCCCCTCCCCCAATCCTCAACCCCTGATTCCGCTCCTCTGTTTTCCTCCCATCCCCCAAATTTCCCTTTCAGCATCCAACACCAAAACCATACAGTTTAATGATGGGTCCCCAGTCCACATAAAACAAACACTACCAGTATGGCATAGATAATACAATACAAAACACAACAAATACTAACAACACTAAACATCAGTGAAAGACTTAATGGACCAAAATATAAAAAATATTACACTATGACATATTGATAGATAAGACAATACAAAATAAATATGTATTTCCTGCTCAGCTGCCCCCTCCTCTGAAAAAGCAGTCAAGATGTGAATAGCAGGAGTAAACACTAAATACATGCTCAGTACTCTTACTAATTATAAA